AAAAAGGACTCTATAGTTCAGTTTTTTTAGTTTGTTCAAGAATTTTTTTATGATTTTTTTCCCTTCCTTGATCTTTTTTCCTTTTATGTTGTTTTTAAACTAAATTTTTTTTCAAAACCTTTCTTCAAGCAAGTATTTAATGATAGTAATAATTTTGTACCAATTATAATTACTTCCTATTGAAGGTGGTCAAATTCTTACATCAGTGAGTCTTATTTAGCAGGCCGATTTGTGTTGAAATCTTGAGAAATAATATTGATTTATATGACTGGAAGTGTGCATGAATGTTTTACAATCTATTTAGGTATTTTGCAATTTCTTATCTAGGATTCCAAATAACTCCCAAATGATTCTAAGGTTGTTGTGTATTTTTATAATTTTCTTTTTCATCATCAATGTCTTTTGCCATATCGTCCATCTTTTGTTTACTGTGTTAATGCGGCATCTCATCGGTAATAAGCCAGAGTTTGTCTGATTACGATGATGTCCTAATTAGCTGAATAATGAGGGAGAGAGCTTGTTAAGGCTGCTAGCCAGATGAGAGAACACTTGATTAGATAATTATACCCATGTTTATCTTTCAATACTTATACAGCCTACAGTCCTACAAATAGAATCTATCTACTATAAATTATTCATAAAACGGTTTAGCAGAGTTAATGTGTCTATGAGGGAGAGGGTCAGAGAGAGTTGATCTTTTTGTGTTTTATGTACTACGCAAAAGTAGATTTTCTTGAAGATCCCATCCTCTCATTTGAATGTATGATCATTTGCATTAAATTGGGAAGTAAAAAGAGTCTAAAGATGTTTATTATGCTGACTTCTGCATAATATTTACAATACAGACCTAGGTATTCTAGGTTTTATCTTGTGGACAATCCAAAACGTAATTGGCAGTCCACCTTTCTTTCAATGAAATGTTGGTTTCTCCGTTAAAATCAAACCTTTTTTTTTCTATTTTAACATGCCGTTCACAATGAGAGACTCTTCCCACCTTGTGTGCGTCTGTATACAAATACACCTTTTGGTGCAACAGCAGGAGCTGCTTTTTGGAAGACGTCCTCCTAAAATTTTACAACTTTAAAAATGAAGGAGCAAAGTTTTGTAAGCAGAAAAACAGCTTCCCTGTACGTTTTGTTCAGGCAGCGAAAACTGGAAGAGCACCTCATTTTGTTACAAACCCAACTGTCAAAGTTGAAGGGACAAACAGTTGCTTTGCTATGCAGTTTTAAATGTGAGCAAGACTAGCACCCACCTTTAGAACCAGCTTTGTTAAACCTTATCTAAGCTCACTTTGGTTCTATTTTATTATCAATCAGAGACATTTTTTTCTGAATTTTGAAAAACTGGTTTATTTAACCCTGTAGATGCATATGCATGAGATTATATCAGTTTATAGTATGACCATTAAGAAATTATAACACTTTGAGCTCTTTAGCTAACATATTGATTGACATTTTCTGTCACTGTCTTTATTGAATCAAAATGCTTTGTTACAGGATTTTCAAACGGACCTGCAGAAAACCGAAGGAAAAGACGGTCTCATCCTACACATCATTGGTGATTAAGTTTAATGAAGTGTTATTTCACTGAACTGGAAATTTTAAAGAGATTTAAAGGGACACATCTGAGAAAGTGTAAATCTCTACCATTATAATCTTTCATCACTTTACAAGGATTTGTCTATGGTAATATAATGTAAAATTGCAAGACATAATAAAAAATGACTTCCAACAAGTTAATTATACACAAATTATTTGTTCTTTTAGCATAAAACAACTTTATGCAGCATAGAGATTTGGAAACCACTATGGCTAAACCCATGAATTGTTGTTGAGCAGAAATAGCCTTCCTGAGGTTTAACAAAATAACAGTGATTCAGAAGTTGAAGAATTTGAGTGGCATCCTCCTACTGTACAGCTGTTCTGATCTATAATTGGGGCCAAAGGAAGAGAAAGTTATTTTAAGTTTTTTTTTTTTTTTTAGGCTTTGTGTTTTTCTGAAGAAAAAAGCAACTTTACAATCAAATCAAAGGCTCTCTGTGAAAACACTTTTAGAATAACTCTAAGCTACTAAAGGCTGTGAAACTATCTAGAAACTAGTCTAAATGTGGATTTTCTGATGTGCTGCCACTATGCAGGATTTCTTCAGAGACTGTTTGGAAATATAGAATAGAAGAATAGAATAAAAAATTCTGGTGTTTACAGCAGCAAGAAGATTATAGAAAAAACAGTCACACACATATGGAGTTTAGAAAAATGTATAAGAATAATATAATAGTGAAGAGTTAAAAAGATAAACCATAAAATACTGTACTATAAAGTTTTTTAACAACTATATTTTTAACAACAATATACAATATATTGTTTTTTAACAATATAAAAACTGTGCACCTGGAGGTTAAATAACCAATACAGAGCTATGAACAAAATAGCAAATATCAAATATCAAACATCCATAAAAAAAAAAAACATTAAAATCCTTTGCTTTTGAGTTTGATTCAAAATTATTTTACTCCCTCTTTGCATAGGGCAAGAAATTATATTGTACATACATTCTTTAAGTCATCACACCCAAACAGTGAAAATCACAGACATAAAAGAGAGGCCAATTTTCATTCATATGTTAACAAAGTTAGATTAAATGTAGCCCAAAAAGCATACAAACACTATCCCCCTGGAAGTGAGGTGGCGGAGCTCCTGTCAAGTTGCGCATTAGTTGTCTGAAGCCTCCCAGCTGAGAAGTGATTAATAGTTTTGTATGTGCTTTGTTCTTGGATCCAAACAATCATTCATCATCATGAGGAAAGTCATGGGCAATGAATTATTTTTCAACAGGAAACAAAGAAAGTTATTTCACTAAACTAAAGCTTTCAACACTGCATTCAAAATAATGAATCATGGCATCAAATATAATGAAGAGGGATGTCCCAATGATATTTAGGGGCTTGACAAACTAAATGAAATTCTTAAAAAGCTGAAACTGTTGAGACTTTGGAAGTTTTAACTGCAGGAATAAAGACAGAGGAACATTTTATCTGCGTGCATTTTGCTATCTTTTTGTATTAAACTGCAACATAGTTAATAATTTGACAACTTTAAATAAGCTTAATTCAGATCAAAATAATGAAATCAAATAGAATAGAATATCTGAAATTAATGTAGATATTTGTTATAAAGCTGTTTCAAAAACAAGCAAGACAATATTTTAGAGAAATTATTAGAGCTAATCTCACCTTTCCTTATACATGAAAAACACATTCTCATGACCTAAGTGAAGTTTAGATATCCTTTTTCTGGGTTAGCTCCCTTAAAAGTTTGATGTGCTGCATCCAGCTGCAAAAGTTTGGATTTATTCTTCATTTAACTCCAGCATCTGCTTTGAACGTGCCTAACTCGGAGAGTATGCAAAACACAACAAGATAATAGGCCAAGGCAATCAAACATCCTGCATTTGCCCATTTTGCGATCGGAGCCGGTTTCTCTTAGAGCAACACACACAGCAGGACTATCTCCCCAATTCTCAGGCTTAGAAAGGAGAGATTTGTGCAGACTGAATATATTCTTTCCACTCTGGTATGAGGTTGGGTTTTTCGGTATACCAATACTGTCTTGAAACCGAGGTAGGTCAGCATTTAAAACGGTGCTATACTTGGTTGGGGCAGGCACTTGCTGTTGCTATTTCCATCATTGCAAACGCTATTTTTTGGCATTCGCATACATTTAACTTACCTGTCTGCAAGGAAAGCAGCAAATTCCTTTTTTTTATGTCTCCCAAAGTTGACATGGACCTGCGATGCAAATTTCAGAATCTTCCATGACTTCTGAGTGGGACAACTTGCAAAATAGCAGGGTTTTCGCTTCACTTTTATGTTATTCTTAGACATTTTTTCTAAGGTCCAAATTTGTGTGAGCATTTTTCTATAACCTTTTTGCTGCTGTAAACACCATAATTTCCCCGTTGTGGGACAATTAAGGGATTTTCTATTCTATTCTATATTCTGCATCATCCTAGAGAATCTGTGAATTTATTGTTTTTAATAAATTAATCAATATGATGAAAATTTTGTAGCGATGCGCTTTAAAATACAACTATGATGCTATGAAATAAAGTTGGTCCAAGAGACTAATCAGTAACAGTCATACAGTATTATTATTAGAAATTGATAATTTTTTTTTTATTTCAGGAGCCACAAAATTATCCTTGAACAATTTCATAAGGGCACTGGCTACTGTTGGCCCGTCTTGATCCATCCTTACTTGAAAGTCTGTAGAAACAACGTGGTGCATCACTTATTGGCTCTTTGCAAGCCATATGTCAGCGTACAAAATAATTAAATAAAATAATTTTTACGAAAACCACTATGTGAGTTTTGTGTTTTTTTGAATCCATGTGTCTTCATTTTGCACATATGTGACATTTACACATATTTAAACAACACGAATGATCTGAAAAACTAACTATACCTTTGGAGAAGCATATTAATGTTGGTAAAAAAAATGGAGTAAACAGTTATAGGGATGCTCACTAAAAAAAGATATTTTAATTAATGAAAAGAAACGTTTGTCAATGTTGTTGAAATGCCTTTATGCAATAAGTAAGTTCTATCTGATTTTTGGGTAGAGAGTATACTTTGTTTATGTTTTTAAGACAAAACTATTGAAAGTGGAAGATTGAAACACAGCTGCACTTTGATTGGTCAAAACTACTAATTAGGAGATATAATTGGACGTTTTTCGATATTTAATTTAAATACGTCATTATTTTGTGTCTAAATTATTATGTTTCTAAAGATGAAAAAAAACACATTTATTCACCATAAGGTTGTTATGTGAACTGGATAATTCATTCACGATGCCTACTGAAAAAAATAACAGTCAAATTGTTGACACATTGACTTTACATTTTACTGTATGCTGTGATTCAAAATGGAGAAGCTTATGAATGGTTCACCACCTTTGCACCATTACACCACATTCACGCCCACACTGACTCCTTACCTTAATAGGGAGGTCTTCAACAGGGGGTCTGCGATCCCTTGGGGTTCCACAGAGGTACTGCATGGGGGTTGTGAAAGTTTTGGTTGATTAGTTTTTTTTTCTTTTTATATTCTCCCCTGCAGTTTTTTCCACTAATTGAAATGTCTTTAAATCCACATTAACATGAATTCAACACTCTTAAGCAAACAGATAAATGGAGGCAGAAGATGTCTTTCAGTCATCAATGCACACATTCAGTGACACACAGGAGCTCTTTCAAGCTGGGCACCGTTTCACTCACAACACCTGTCCTATCAACCAGGAATCAGAATCTGAAATACTTTAATAATTCCAGGGTGAACATACTTTCGTTACATGACTTCATCTGTAATAGAGTGACTATAGGACCAGTTTGATATAACACAATTTCATACAATATATATAATTAGGGGGTCCCCACTCCATCTCACCATCAGTTTGGGGGTCCTTGGCCTGGAAAACGTTGAAGACCCCTGCCTCAAGAGATGAAAATTCAAAACCCCTCAAAGGGTATTCTGTCATTTCTCTGAGGTTTCCCTGGGATCTGAGTCATATCCACATCATGCAGCAGTCACTTCCCCAGTTAAGAAGGAAAATGAAAAAAGTGATCTATGACAGCAGGGATGATCGAATTCAGTGGTGATGTCAGGGCAGGAAAACTGACCTCAGATAGTACTCATGCAAGCAGACACAAAGAGTGACCATCACACCTAAAGAAGTATCAATGACAGGCAATTGTCAAAACAATAAGTGCAATGCCGATATGCTACTTAAATAGAGTTCTGTCAAAGTTCAAAAAATATCCACTGGGCTTGGTTTCCAAGATTTGAAGACGTTTCTCCACCTCTCCAGGAAGCTTTCTCAATTGAAATGTCTGGATCCACAGTGAGTTTGAGTCTTATATAGAAAAGGCCTTGTATTGCTTGGAAACATGCAGTTCCAGTATGGTGAAATTGGCACCTCCTGTTGCCTGTTGGCATGGTGAATCGTCGAATCGGTGCTCCATTGATAATGGCTTTTCATAGTTGTTACACACTTGTTCAACTCAGAGTCTTTTGAAAACTCAAAAACTTAAAAGCTTCCAACCTTATGAGCTTTCAGTCTCGATTTGTTAAACCTGCTTTGTGAAACAGTTCTCAGTTTTTCTCAATGAATTATGAAGGGGGCATTCATTTATACCTTTTCTTTGTAGTTTTTTGTGTAGTTTTCTTTGTAATTTCTTGTGCCAACATATCAAAGCTCTTGTGCTATATTCACATCGGACGTGCTTTGAGCTGCAGAAGCAGCGGGGTTACATGCAAAATCTATGGCTGATGCGGATCAAGGCGCATCAAAAGGTCCTGCAGCCCGTTTCGAGCAGCAGGTGCAGGGCCTCTTGACGCATCTGAGCAGTCGAAGCAGCACAAGCCTCTGAGCTGCATGGCATGCTTTACAAGCAGCAGATGCCAGAGTTGAAAAATTACATTTTTGCTGCACAAGGAGAGAACTCAAGGAGAAAGGATACTATGATCACTCCCCTGAAACAGTTATTTAATGCCTAAATTAACTTTGATTTTATTATTCTTGTGCCTGCAGTTTTTCCCCCTTCCTTGAAAATTGTTACTTTTTCTTTCCGGCCCCGTTGACCGTTGGGGGATTACTTTTTAAGGGCACCGGGGCCGGAGGCACTTGTTGTTGGGGTTTCCGGTTGCCGTTGCCCGGCGGTTTTTTGGGGTTTTGCGTGCTCAGACAGCAAAATACTATTTTATTGCAGGACTGTAACCCTGATAAACTGATTGCACAGACAATGTTTTGAGGTCGATTTTCTCACTTTATATATTATTAAATATATATTAAAACTATGTTTTACCAACTTATCACAGCAAATACAGTAAAGCCACTCTCTGCCATTAAACACAGGAGCAGCAGAAGCATCAGATGCATCTGAACACACTTTACTGGATGCGCATCAGGAGCATCAAAGATGCACTTGAGGCACATCTGACCTTAATGTGTACAGCATCAAAAATGAAGCAGCAGGCCTCTTTTTTGATGCAGAAAGCATGTCCGGTGTGAACGTACAGTAGCAGTAGAACAAAGCGTCACACCTAGTAACTGGGTCAACCAGACGTCCTCAATGAGACGGTGATTTCTGTGACTTTTATGCTCTGACATGACATCTTCATGTAGGCTCGTATGATTTTGAATCATTTTAATAATAAAAACAGGTTTTATTATATTATTATGGTATTTAGTAAACAGGGTAAAAGCTAACAGAACTAAAATCTTAAATGTTTATTGTGATTAAATTAGTATTTTTTTTTTTTTAAGTTTAATGAATAATCTGAAAAGGTTCATTCTGTTTCCTGTCAGTTGCCTGCACTCTGACATTTACCATGCATGTTTTGCCCTGAGTGTCTGGATCTGATAAAGAAGTGGATTGCATTTAGTCAAAACAGTGAATCAAAATGCACTCTGGATTCACTTTAAAAATGTAAATGCTTTCTCATCTCAGCAAAGTACCCACAATTATGCATTCAGCAACTTCTCCCAAAAAATCCCTTTCTTTCTTTCCTTGGATAATGATGCAAGCACAAGTAGGCCTGTGATTGGTTGAATGATCGGTCCTTCTTTTTTTTTCATTGCAACTTGTACACTTCTTCTGATAAATTACCTCAAAAGAGTCTGAAGTTTTACAGCTAGGGTTTATTCAAAAATGACTTCCACAACTAATAAAAATAAAAAATAATCTCAAAAAATTTATTAAAATAAAAAAGTCATAACATGGAAATCCATTACCTTTTTTTTAATGATAATGAGATTTTGATATTTTCCAATATTTAGGATAAAAAATTTAAAACAAAGTTATATTAGTCCCAAAGGGAATTACATGCATGAGTATAAAAGGCGTAGTGCTGGTGAAAGTACAAATGACATGAAGACAAAGTATACTTCCGATGGATGTTTTTAGCAAGACTCTGACAAACCACTGTCAGTGTGAGAGACTGAATTTAGTTGATAGACAGAAAAAAAAGTCCTAGATGACAGCTGGAGGTTTATTGTATCTTTCAGGCTACAGTATATGATGCAATCACATAACATGAAAAGGTTTAAGTTCCGTTTTTTTAGGCATACAGAAGGAGTTAAACTGGAAAAAAAATGTTGAGAAAATGAATGAAGTGATAATATAATAGGTGTAAGTGTCTGGGGGTCATGTTGTACTAAATGAATCGATATGTATGCTTAAGATATCCAATAATAACTATGCTCTGTCGGACGAACCTTGAAAGATTTTCTGTTCAACCTTTTCTCTAGTATGATTCAACCTTCTCTCATGTAACATTCTAAAACTTATTTATTGATATAAACTCATGGACCAAAGGAAATGTAGCATACATATAACATGGAAGGAGTGGTTTTCAAGCTTTTCACCAATAAAATGTTGAAATGCTGCTCACATTTATGTGGTGTTTTTTCAGTCATGTCCCCAAAAGTTCCAATGCAATCCAGTACAATAGCACAGAGGGAATTTGATTTAAAAGTAATACAAATCCAGCTGTTCTTTTGACAGAAGTTTCATGAAAAAACATCAGAGTGAACAAACAGCAACATGAGGACCGAACAACACAGTAGACGGGTTCTAAGAAGTCTGAAGATGTGTAACGTTGAAACTGTTCAGTTCAATGTATGAAACTTGAAAGAGAATGGCACAACTGAAAAATGTATGAGGTTTTGACTGTTTAAGATGGCTGACAGGCTGGGGGAGAAGGATTTTAATTAGAGAAGCAGCCAAGTCTTTGGTAGCTGAGGAGAAAAACTGTAGCTTAGATAAAGATTTTCTAGAAAAGGCATAAAACTGTTTTTTATTAAAAGCTAATTTCTAAACGGATTTTGTTTTTTATGCTTTTAATATTTTTTTCTGTCAGTAGTTCTGTTTATATATAGAATTTTTTTTATTTTCTCGGTTAATTGTTGTAGGAACTCAAGTAAAGTAGGAATCAGAAAGATCTTTAATGTTAAGGACTATAGAGAGAATAAGGGGTATGATTAAACAATTTCTACTTTTTCATATCCCCTTTTAGGCATAATAACTAAATTATACATATAATTTAATAATTTTTTATCATTTTAATGTTTTTCATTTGAATCATTTTCTAATCAACTCAAACTTAGGATATCTTAAGATAGGATATCATTCAGTGTGGGGAAAAGCAGTCTGCTGGGGACTAAATAAGTAATTATAAATGCACATCACATGTTGGATTCCTGTTTAGTTTCCCTTCAGTCAAAAATGTTGTTTTTCTGTTCATTATATGAAATCCCAAAAGAATACATATAAGCTTTAGGTTTAAGTATATTTGAGGTATGAATACCTTTGGAACTATACGAATTGGAGATGTTTTGCTCATAATTAAGCATGATGTGACTGAACTACAGTATAAATCATACTTGAACAATGCATGAGAGGTTTCATATGAGCCTATTTTTGACACCTTTTTCTGCATCTTTATTTTTTCATCTGCTGCAAATTTTTCAGGGAATTGCATTTGCATGATAAATATCACGCATAAGAAAGTGCACAAGAGTAAGGCATGTTTATAAACAATTTAAAAATCACATCACATCTGGTGAGTGAGGTCTAAGTGAGAATACATGCATTTTTAAATAGTATTCTGTTGAGTGTGTTGCTGGGTGTGTGCCTGCTCATGGTTCCACATCAGAGTGAGGACCGTTTTCCAATTTTGCCATCAAATTGAGGACCATTTGCACCAAAGTGAGAACATGTTGGCATCCTATGTTGTTACGCATTAGGTTTTGAACTAGGTTTTGAACTCAGTTTAGATTAAGGTAAGATATATAAAGGTAATAGTTTGATTTAGGGTTACTGGAATAGAAAGGAATGACTGAAAATCAATGGAAGTTGATTTGGAGATGAAACTGTCTGAACCAGAGAGGTTTAAATGTTTAATTCTGAGTTTGGAGCCAAATGAGCTCTGACTGCCCTAAAAGATTAGCTGCCAGTTTCTACAAATGTGTCCACATCATGTGTCTCTCTACAAA